ATATCTAGTCCAACCACCTGCTCCAGCAGGGTTAGAAGGGAGTGTGTGTGTGTGTGTGTGTGTGTGTGTGCATGGCTGTCAAAACTCCTAAAACAAGTCAAGTAACTCTGGGGAGGTCAGTCATAAATTAGAACACTTACTAAGCAACTGGCCATTAAGTGAGGAACATTTATATTTGGTTTGCCAGTCACATGCCCAGTTGGCCATGCCCACCCAGTCACATGACCACCAAACCATGTCCATCCAGTCACATGACCATCAAGCCATGGCCACCAAGCAAGCCACGGCCACCCAGTAACATGACCACCAAGCCACGCCCAGAAATTAGGCCACACCCACAGAACCAGTGGTTAAGAAATTTTAATCCCACCCCTGGGTGGGGGGCACTGAGGATGAGTTTGTAGCACCAAGGGGGCTGTGTATTGAAAAGTTTGGGATTCACTGATTTAGAAGGACGGATACAATTTATTTATATAGTGTTATACAAATTGGATGCAGTGGGAAATTTATATATTTATTTAAATTGACTGCCCGCCCAACTCCAGGGGACAGTAGGCAATGTATAAAGTTTAGAAACAGCAGCAGAATAATGGTTAGGACCAGTTAATCAATAGCCTTCCTAAGAGTTTGGAATAAATATAACACAAGGGGAAGAGGCCTCTTTGGATGTCCGCCCTGGAAGCTTATTTTTAAGGAAAGAAATTGTTGCAAACCCAGACTGGTGGACTTAGTGTCAATTAATATCCATTAATTTTGGTGAGCCTATCCTCAAATCTAAACAGTAGTAAGAATCAGAAAGATGTGTCCACCAGTTAAATCAGAGAAAAAGTGTTATGAAAAAAGAATTGGAAATCCTACTGTGTGGTGATGATGAACATATTATTGCTGAAGTCTATAAAGTGTTTTGAATTTGAACTTTTAGAATGAATATTGCGAGATTGCAAGATTGCATTGCAAGAATCAGTGGGCAAGGAATTTTGAATGTAATGTAATACTTGAATGATTGGAGAACTATAAGCTAAAAAAGAAAAGCAATAGAATAATGATTAGGACCAGTTGATCAACAGGCAGCCCAGACTAAAATATAGTAATAAAATCCACAAAACAAGGATAAACATCAATCCCAGGCCTAGAACAAAAAGGATTAAAGAGTGGATGCAATGTTCTGATTATTTCATTCATCCCCATCAGCATCATTATTTTTTCTCATATGATAAGTAACTAGAATGAATTCCCTTGACTTACCTTCCACACAGGTTATCAAGGAATGTTTGATATTATAAGGTGAATATTACCTTTCTGATTGGCAATCTTCCCCTCTGGACATGGACGGCACCTATAGCAGCAAAAGGGTTTCCCTTCTAACTTGGTCTTACTTGAACCTGAATGACAATTGTCATTGCACAGTGAATGAGGTCTTTTCTGAAATGAACATGAATGGATTAAGAATCAATTTACCATTCCATGAGGATATTTGTTGTGGTAAACAAGACACACAAAAGTAAAATATGAAAAAAAAAATAACTAACTTATTTTCTAGCATATAGTGAAGATTTCTGGAAAATACTTCATGTTTGTTTTTAGTTGAGTATAGCTCATTATTTTTTTGTGCACAATAACTTCAGCAATAGTTATTTACTTATAAATGATGATGGATGACATCTAAGCTGCTGTTTCTTATATTAACTATTTCTGCTTTCCTATGTGCAAGAATGGAGTTAATTTTTTTTATCTAAGAGTTTCTACATCAAATGTAGTTGGTTGAATCTAGAGAAGGGTTTTTGAAGTAATTGAATGTGTAATGAGGTTCTTGTAATTGATGATGAAGTACAAGTGACTAGATGCTATGCTCAATCATTATAGTAAAGACCAGAAAAGCCAACTTGTTTAACATGCTTCATCCAGGAAGGCATATTAAACTCCTCTTCTTTAAAACTCATGTGGCCATGTGACTGGGGTGGGCATAGGTAGGTGCCCATTGTGACTG